GTTCTATACGTTTCAGAGAAACCACCGTTTAGCCTGTTTTTTTGAAAGGTAATTAAATTACCAACAAAACTATATAAAAATAGTTTATTTCGGACAACTATCAACGAAGTTAGAGCTATTCAATTGCCAATGTAAGATTACGGGTACATATACTCTCGGAAAGGGACGAATGAGAGAAAAAAGATAACTTAGTAAAAGTGAGAAAATCTGTTACCTGCATCACACAAGCATCACCATACCTCTACTTTTAACAGACATTATTGCTTGATAAAATTAGGTTGTGGCAAATGTTTTTGATCAGCAATATTAGAGAGTATTGAAATTTTTACACTGATCTACCTTGAGTCGGTTTACATTGCTTTAGTTTATCAAATAAATCGTACTCAAATCTTTTCTTTGATCAATTTCTAGGAAAATAAATCTAATTCAATTTTTTTTGTTTCTTGATGGACATATGTAATGACATAATAACTTTTCTGAAATTGGTAGGAAAGTCGGGTAAGTGGACACACCAGATTTTTTTTCCTGGTAAATATCGTTGCCTAATAGGATAATCAGTACAAATGTTCTAGTCAGTTCGACAAGGAAAATCGTAAATGTTTTGTCACTAATGAAAACTATTATTCTAAATGAAAATAGAAAAACAGCTGTACGGTCCAAGTATGCGCGTCCTTGAACCATTCTCGTAATGTTTACGCCATATTACATTTTGTTTTCATAAGATAGTGTTATTGCGTTTTTGCGACAACGGTTCATGAGTAAATATTTTGTAACAGCCGAACGAACATAATGTTTTTTTCAGAATATTACGCTGTCTATGTAATGATATACATTCCTTTTATTACAGTATATTATAAAATTGGTTAAATGAACGATGAAATGATTTCAATTTGATAAACAGATTGTTTATAATTGTGGCTTGATGGTTGACTGTCGTGAATAATGGAGAGAAGGTTGGTTGGAGTGATCAGTCAGAAATAAAAAGGCAAAAATAAATAATAATATTTATTTTAACATTTGCCGACGTTTCGACATGAAGTTCAGGCCTCCATCAGGGATGTTCCAAGAGATTGCTGGAATTGAGTGCGTTGTTTATAACCATTTAAAATAATTTATTATATTATATCATACCTATTTAGTAACAAAAATATAATTCTTTAATGGAAACGGTGAAGTGTCTTAACAAACAACACTATCAACATATAATAATTTGTTAAAAAAAAAAAAAAAAAAACTAGAGTCGCATTGTCGCATCCACAATGAAATATAAATAATTATAGCGTTTATAATTTTTACTTTCACTTCTCCTTTGTCTGAAAATACTTATTTCTGCTAAGAAGAGGATGGTAAGTGAAAGTTGTGTGATATACGCACCGCACTTGATTTTTTTTAAAATGACGCTCAACTAAAAATTACTAACTAAAACCCACGGATTGAATTTGTGAATTATTTCTATTTATAGAAAAAATCAAATCATAATAGATTTTTATTTTTTTTTTTAGTACAAAAGAAATAACTCTGATACATTTGATAACAATTTAAAAATCATTTCATAATAATTATTTTTCATGATAAAATTTAACTAACATCTAATTAGTATTTTTGAGATTTTTTTTTAACCTAAAATAATCCTGAAAATTTGCTTAAAAATAAAAAACTAGAAAGTTGAAATAAATTTTCATTGTATTCATTGCGAGTGCAATTCTGTTAAGAAATTGGCCATTTATCTGCTTTTTAATTTACACAATATATTACAAATAAACCATCGCCTAACAAAATATATTAATAAATAAAAAAATATATTTTATATATCTACTTGATCTTTAATTCTTAGTTATTGTTTCTTGGCTTCTTTCTTGACAAAAGACTAACCCGCATACCAGACTTAAATTACAAGAACTTAACCGACGATATGGCCAGCTGTATAAATTACTAAGTAGGACATGCCATCTTTCGATTGAAAATAAACTTTTAATCTACAAGACCATACTGAAACCTATCTGGACCTACGGACTTGAACTGTGGGGAACTGCTAAACATTCGAATATCAAACGCATCGAATCCTTCCAGTCCAAAGTACTCAGAACAATAGTCAATGCCCCATATTATGTCACAAACAAGACCCTACACCATGACCTTAACATCCCATTTGTCCTCGACATCATCCCATCCAGATTCTCAAACTTTCACCAGAACCTTATCCATCATCCAAATCCTCTAGCCCAATCCCTATCCAGCTCCCTTCATACCTACAATCCTCCACGAAGGTTAAAACGGCAGTGACCCAGAGATCTCTTGTAAATATGCTTCTGGAGTCCTGGCAATGGCCAGCATCTTCACTCATGTCCTGAGCGTCTGTGGCTCTAGTGCCCTCTTTCAGTCTCCATTGGCTTCTAATACTAGTGATGCGGCTGGAAAAGTGGCACTGGGATCTCCTGTAGTCTTGCTTTGCCTTCCACATGTGGGGGAAAAAGCCTGGCTCGGGAGATTCCTGGCTATATATTGTATATAGGTATGATTGTGTTTAGAAGTTTTATTTTATGTTATTTGTTTACTTTTTTTTTCCTTTATTTACTTTATTCATCAGTATTATTTATTTACTTTTTATATTTATATTTATTTCTCTATTATTAGTATATATTGTATGAATGAGAACTCGCCCGAATACTTATAGCCCTCCAGCAGTGGCTGATTGTATTATTATTCAATAAAAAAAAAAAAAAAAAAGTTATTGTTTCAAAATACGTAAAAGCTAGTTGTTTACTTTTTAGTTTCAGCTCGACGTTTTATCGTCATATTCTGTAAATTTATTAGTTGAGCATGCGAATGTATATAAAACGTAAATAAATTGAAATAAAAATTATCAATGATCGATTGTTTTTAGTAGATGTTTTCACGCTGAATAGGCTTTTTGAAGTTTTATTTAGAGTGGGAAAGGAAAATGTTAGTTAATTATAGAATTAAAAAAAATAGAGACACATTACGTTTATTTTAAGAAAACATAAGCTATAAATTAATAATTATTTGTTTAAAATTAAAAAATGCATAAATTTTTTAATGAATTAAATTTATTGAATTTTTTTTTTAACTTAAAATATATATATATATATATATATATATATATATATATATATATATATATATATATTAAGTAACACATTTTGATATTGCCTGGAGTCTGGAGTAACTTCAAGTTGCCCTCCTTGAACCCTACAAGGATTTTGTTTTGCAAGAGGTTGAAGCTGTTAACTGGCACGATTCCTAAGAAAACATTTTGCAACAAGAAAACGCACTAACTTATTGCAAAAAGAAATAAATATAATAGTAATTATGTTAAGATATTTTCTAGCATTTTTATTTTATATCCACACCAAGGAATTTATTCTAATCTAATCCAAAATTAAATTACTAAGAAGCTTTTAAAATAGAACTTTTCTAAAATGCTAAATACAAATTAAAAGCCATTCTACAAATCGATACAAAATTTATAGAGCTATAAATCGACATGAAATATGGCACTACTCACGTTTCTGCTACGTATTAGTTATTAGAGAAAACGCGTTCTTCAATGTTCAACATTTTATCACAAGGATAGTTTCAAACTTGTCACCCGAATCTACTCAAATAAATCCCCTCTAATCACGTTGGGATTGTATCTATTGATTAAATCAGGGTTATATAATTTGCGATGGATCCTACACTTTTCAAAAGACGCCATTTTTTAAAGAACTTTTCAACACTAGATCCGTTGGTTTCAATTGGTCCTTTGATTAAGCTAGTCAATCACATTATATTCTATATTATAATGTAACGATACATTATTATAATATATAATTATCATAAAATTTATATTACATTGCATAATAATACATTATATTATAGTGGTTATTATATACCTAGTTCTGCCATAAATACTGTTACAAAAGTTGAACTTTGTTTACATCCATGGGTATTATTTAGATAATCCTTACCTCTATCAGTTTATTTTCTTTATATGTCCGGATAATAATCCCAGTTAGTTTGTATTTTTCTTTCGCTCGGTTAACGTGAAGTGGGGTAATAAAGAAAACTTAATAGCTATGATCGTCTTATACAAAGTTGAAAAATGTAGGCCAGAGATTTTCAACACTTTGAAACCATTGTCAGCCGTATGTTCGTGTACCGCACTATAAATAGATATAATGAGATCCACGGGGGGGAAGGGGGGGGGGCTTTCGGGCTGAAGCACCCTCCCCCCCCCAAAATGGTAAAATATAACCATGTTTTACGGGAAAAAAAGTTTTAAAATACCTCTTAAAGTATTATTGTTCGTATAATTACATTTAAAAGGACTTAAGGAATCACTTAAACACCATTTCATATAGATAGTTAGTTTCTTTCTGTTTTTCCAAAGTAATTATCGTTATTTTTATGAAAAAAAAGCTTTAAAAAGCCCCCCAAAATTAAATCCTGGATCCGCTAGTGTTGAGATCCTATCTGTATGTGACATACCTCGACCGGGCCGTCCCCGCACTGTGAGAACGGCAAATGCAGGAGAACACGGACTGTTCGAATCAGAAGAAATCCCATTCGAAAACAACAAATCATGTCTTGGGAAATGGGAATGTCTGTCAGATCAATGTCTCGCGTAATAAAATGTGACCTTAGAATGGGTGCTTTCTAAGAATGACAGGACAAAGGCTAACCACTCCCCTAAAAAAAAAAATAGAGTGGATAGTGATGAAAATAGAGATACAAAGTGAACGATTATGTTTAGCGATGAGAAAATTTTTACCAAATTTTCACGATCTCCAAAATGATCGTGTGTTGCTCTAAAAGCTAAAACACAGCTCTAAAAAAAGCCAAGGAATTCATTGGAAGAGTGGAAAGAGATCATCACCCTTCCTCAGTGATGGTTTGGTGGGGAATTTGCTTTAATGGCACCACAAAGCTCCATTTTTGTGAAACAGCCACTAAAGACTATCAGGACGATATTTTGGAACCTGTTGTCAAGCCTCTAAATGATACTCGGTTTGCTGGAAGTCATTGGATTTTCCAGCAGGATTCCGCTCCAGCTCACAAGGCCAGGTCAACTCAGCAGTGGTTACAAAAGAACATTCCAGAGTTCATCTCTGCCTCGGATTGGTCCTCAGGAAGCCCTGATTTCAACCCAAGATTATCGGCTTTGGTCCAAACTGGAGAGGATGGCATGCCACAGAGCATACCCTAACTTGGAAAGATTCAAACAATCTCTGGTCCGACCATTTAGCACTTCCCTGAAGAAGTGCTCCGTGCTGCTATTGAGGACTGACCACGGAGATTAAATGCCTATATCAAGGCAAAAAGTGGACATTTTAAGTAATTTATTTTTTATTTTACTCTCTATAGATATACATTTTATTTTCTAATAATGGTTTTGAAAAAATTATTTTTTTTTTTGTTGAAATCTGAACATATATCCTTGTAACAATATTTATGACAGGACTAGGTATACCCCTAAGTAGGTGATTGTTGATCAGAAAAGCCTCGGGCTCACCAATAACTATTAACTATAACCCAGTGCCTTTGAACAACTAGGTACCGTACTTCGGACTCTACTTAGACAAAAGACTTACTTGGAACATACATACTTTATTTATTTTTATTTTATTTATTTATATGATATTTACAACTGTATACAAAAAATACATCTGGTAAATTCGCACATGGATATAATGACATGAAACACATGTTGAGAAACTACCCATTGGTAGCACTCTAATAATATGTCTATATTAGAAGATCACGTGGCCATCTTCTTTTCAGACGCTTCGGAGGATAATCAGGAATTGAATAGGAAGCAAGGTTAGAAACAAGAGGGCTGGGATGGGATGGTTGTGAAGTTTATTATGGAAGGACAGATATCTGGATTGGGCCAAATCTGATACATAAAGAACATTAAGGTCATTATGGATGATTTTGTTTGTGACAAAGTAAGGAGCTGTGAGGATTTTACGAAGGATTTTGGATTGTAAGGATTGGATACGAGAGGAATTTGAAGGTTTGGTGGAGCTATAAACCAACATGAAATATTGCACTACTCACATCTTTGTTACGTCATAGTTATTAGAGAAAAGGCGTTCTTCAGTGTTCAATGTTTTATCCCGAGGTTGGGATTATGTCTATTGATGAAATCAGGTTATATAATTTGTAATGAACCCTACACTTTTTAAAATACGCCATTTTTTAATGAACATTTGAACACCAGATTCGTTGGTTCCAATTGGTCCCTTGATTAAGCTAATCAATCACATTATATTCTATATTATAATGTAATAATACATTATTATAATATATAATTATTATAAAATATGTTACATTACATTACATATATTAAATTCTCGGCAATTAACGATTGCATCACATTTGCTAGATGCGCTGCAGAGCAGGTACAAAAATGGCATAGAGCATTAAAATAAATAAATATTTTTAAATGAAACACAATATTTACATAGAGGAATAATTTTAAAAATTATTTTCGATAAATTTTGGTTTATTATTTTCAATAATCAACCATTGTGATCAACTTAAAAAATTCAAAAACTTAACCCCCTCTCAAAATTTGATGTTTCATGTTTCAGGATGCGTAGAATTCGAAAAACTAATACAATTTTTTTTTTTCCGTCCGCCGTCCGCGCATTTTCTCCGAAACTACTGGACCGATTTTTTTCTTATTTGGATATAAAATCAGACGTCACCCGAGGATGATCCTCCTTCATCGACATTACTATCCGCCTTTTACTTTCAAAAAGGCGGCCGAAAAACCTGCGTTGCTATAGACTGTAGTGTTGCCCAAATGCAAGACGACTCTTGGTCTTGCAAACTCACTCTTGGTCATGTTCTTGGTCTTGCGCAAGAGTCTCCCAACAGTCTTGGAGTTACTTATTAGCTTATTGCTATAGAGATATTACTGTAGTTTTTTATATAGAAGAAACCTAACTAAGCCCGAAAGAAAAATTACAGGAGTTAAATGCAAAAATATATTGGTTATACCAATTATTAATATATATTAACTAAGATAGTCAACTATTAATAACTTTTTTGCCTTAATTATTATTAAAAAAAGCGATTTTTTTTACCAGTCCTGGTCTTTGTCTTGCAACAGTTAAGCGGCCTTGGTCTTGATCTTGGAAAGTGCAAGACCAAGACCTATTTTCGGCAACACTAATAGACTGTAGCTCCTAAACTAATGTACCGATTTCAATGAAACTTCGCCAAAGTCATTTTCACGGTGCCCTTTAAATTTATCTATATAACATACTTCAACGAAAAGAAGCTGGAAAAAAAGTTACGAGGAATGGTAAAATTAAATTCCGAATACAGATCAAGCAGCCAACATAGCAAGAAAGCCAGATACAACATCCGTTGAATCAATTAATGAAATCCCTCTAGAGGATTACGTTATAAAAATTAAGGAGAATGTGTGGAACATGTGGCAAAACAAGTGGGAACAAGGAGAATCGAAATTAAAAGAAATTAAACCCCACTGTTTAAAATGGGAAACCTCGCACCGACCATCTCGAAAAGAGGAGACAGCCCTTTGCAGACTGCGAATTGGACATTGTGAGTTCTCGCACTCCTACCTACTAAGAGGACTTGATCCTCCGACCTGCGAGAGCTGCAATGTCCAAAGGACAGTAAAGCACATTATTCAAGAATGCCCTACATTTGATCCTATAAGGAGAAAGTTAGACATGGCACAGAGTCTGAAAGAAAATCTACAAGACCATGAAAATGCCGTTAAAAAAACTTTAAAGTTCTTAAAAATGATAAAATTCTACAACAGAGTTTAATTCAAAGGTGTTGCCAATGACCCTACAGGGTAGAGGCAACAAAAAAAAAAATCAAATAAATAAATAAATAAATTCCGAATAACTCCAAAAGTTTACACTTTTTTGTCAATATTGTATATTTTTTTTTAAAGTTTATTGAATTTCAAAAAAAAACAAAAAAAAAAAGTTAAAATCGGTCAATTAGGAGAAAGATATGGTCTTCAGTTCTTTTTTATATGTTCTACTCCAAATATTATTTCGTTTGTTTGGTTTTTAAATTTCGTAATGTGTTACTGAAGTAATGCTTTTTTTTTTTTAGCATATTACTAATGATTTAAAAAAATAATGTTTATTCCAATAATTGGAATCGCATTTTATTTAGTTTTCCATTGTAATAAATATTGTAAAAAATGTTATTTGTATGAATTACATCTAATTGAATATTCGGTATCAAGATTTATTTTAGCATATTAAATCTTTGACATTGGGGAAATAAATTATATAAACACTTGTTACATTAAAAAAATAAACATTCCACATTTATAAACATGATGGGCCTTATCTGTCTCGCTCAGTAAAATTCCATTGCGCATAAATTGTCTACAAATACAAAAAGAAAAAAAAAATCTTAATGGATTTCAAACGCAATATTCAACGAGTGATTAATCAATACAATAATTAATTGACAGTTAAAAGAAAAAAATATCATATCGTAATATTTTATCTAAAAGAACAGCCCTTTTTTCGTTTATAACCCTTAACCGCAAAATCTACTGAACCAATAGCTAAAATAGTGATAGAGTTGCTCATTCTCACTCTATGTACAATAAATAAAATAATTTTATTTTCATTTATTTGTTGTATTATGCAATAGCTGCGAGTTTACTTGATTAGCTAGCTTCATTTTGTTTTTAATGTATGGATTGAAGTGGTTTAGAATTGAAGAATAAAATAAAATGTATTTGTCGTGGATGTAGGATTTTACTGTTGAGATGTTTACATCGTTATTGATAGTTTTATTTGAAATGTACCAGGGTGCGTTGACGTCGTTTTTGCATATGGATTAAAGTATCTAAAAAACTAAAACATCGGACCTGCATATATATTGTTAACGAGGGAAATTTTCATCATTTCGTCCTCTTGGAAAAAAATTGGGTGGGAAAAAATAGTGTCTAAACCATATGATAACGAGTTTTATTGAAGATATGGCTTAAAATATCTCAGAAACTAAAAAAGCAAGGGAATTTTTCAGCATTCCATCTACTCTGTAATGAGTTATTATTCAAAATTGTATCTTAACCCGACGGGGTGTTAGGGAGGCGAAATGGAAAAAATTAAAAAACGAGTTTTTAATTTTATTCATTTTAAGATATGAATTAAAATATCTCAGAAACTAAAAATCCATACTGTAAGTAATAGAAATTTTCAGCTTTTCATCCTCTTTATAATGAGATATTGATTATAATTTATATTTCATATTATTAATTTCGCCTTGTTTGTTGATGTTTTGCCTTCTATCGTGTGATTTAAAGAACACACCTTAGTTTTCTTATTAATTAATATGTTAGTTATTAATATGTATCAATTACTTTTTAAAAAAGAAAAAGAAGGATTCGGCTAATGTTACATTATTGTTAATTCATACCTCATGACAATCATGAAAATAAAAAATAAAATACAAACCGCCATTTTTATTATAAATTGTTCATAAATAAAATTATAATTGGTAAATGGTTGACTGTCGTGAATAATGAAGAGAAGCAACTATTCTTCTCTCAAAACAACTATTCAGGTCGGAACGTCTAATGTCAAAATAAATAGTATCATTTATTTTTGCCTTCTTATTTGCCTGATCACCCCAACTATTCTTCTCTACATAAATAAAATAAGTTGTTAACATAATTTATTCCAGATTATTTTTTTAAGTTCTCTACTCTGCCTTTCTCGCAAAAATAAACATTTTTCATAAAAGACTTATTTTGTATTTTTTTATTTTTATTTTTTATTTGAATACAAAATCATTTGATGTTTCGTAGTTAAAGTACTTATTCTGAAAACAATTTAAATACACTGTAATTAAAATACGTCGTACTTAAAAAATATTAGGTATTATAAGTACTATATTTTGAAATAATAATTAAAATACTATTTGTGCAGGTGTGAATCACACTTGTGCAAAAACTATATATCGTCCGCAGTCACTTAAAGTGAAGCATAGGCTGAAACTTTTAAGCATATTGTATTCGATTTAAAATAAACCCCTTTTTTACGGACAAAATTGAGTAGCCTAAATTTTTTAAAGATAGTTTTTTCTTTTTCTACATAAATGTCGGATATTAATCCGCCACAAAGCCCGCCGAAGGTTATAATTTTAATACTACAATCAGAATAGAAAATATTTTTTCTCACTTTCTGGAAAATGAGGGTTTGATATTATGATTGCACTTTGGAAATAAACGATTCAATTATGAAATCATCAAATGAGGAATTATTCTTTTTTGTGGAGTGTGAAT